AAAAAATAATTAATTATTAATCAAAATTGATATAGAATTAATTTGGGATTAATTAGATTAATTAAAGGTACAAGAGATAAATTTTAATTGTTTAATAGTTGAACAAAACAAAAAAATTCTAAAACCATTCTTGGTATATGTATTTTGCAATTTGCCATATTGCATGGCAAAATACTTGGCGGAGGGGGCAGTGAAAGAACGGGTGACTTCAAAAATCAATGGTGGTATGTTTGTGACAAGGGTTGCGAGAACCTATGTCATTTTGAACAGACCGCAGGCACAAGCATTGACTATGATTCCTAGTCCTCCCTTCAGCACAACTTTATTTAGGAGGGCTAGGATCATTGAGGATTATGGAAGGGGCCATATTAGCATTCCAAATAATGATGAATCGTTGGTGCCGGAAGAACCGGGAAGGAGTGTGCGACAAAGGAGGGCGCGGGTGCTGCAAAACCCACCGATTATTCCTGTGGAGGAGGAGCTACCTATGGATTGGTATAGTGTTGAACAGCGAAGATACCAAGATGACATCGGGCGGGAGAGAACTTTACCAATGAGTCATTGGTTTGTTTATTTGAGCAAATGCACTTTGCACCAAGGCCCGAATACCCGTATATCTCCAATTGGGATGAAAGGGTGCAAGCAAGAGGAAATCAAGCGGGTCGAAGTGGAGTCGGAGGAGATGAAGACGAGGAGGAAGATTGATGTTATATTGTGTTATTGATGTTTAAGACTATTTATTTTTCTTTGTTTTGGGTGTTGAATTTGTAGGATGTTTATTTAGGAATCTGTTTTCATTTATTACTTGTGGTTGTTTTCTTTTCAGATTGAAGGATTGGATGCATGCAAGAGTCTCAATTGTCAAGGTTAGAGTGATGATCGGGTCTAGATGAGAATGTGCATGAGTTAGGGTCGAGTCTGTTATCAAGGAGGGTCTTAGAGTGTTATTTGTTGAAGAAAATTGAAGAAAATACACTGAGTTATCATACCCATCCACATTAGAAACGGAACCCACAAGCAGATTGTTTATATTTCTCACTCAGTGATGGACTCGTCGAGTACACTTTACCTACTCGACGAGTCCGAGTTCAGTTCCACGTTTTTCTGCTTGATACGTTGCTACTCGACGAGTTGTCGTATAAACTCGACGAGTTTACCATTTTTTCATTCTCAAAGCTTACATTCTGCTCATATTCACTACGGGTCTCACTCATATTCATTAGAGTTTAATTTCTGAAGCTTTCCAAGTATTTTTCCTGCATTTTTGGAGCTTTCCCACACAAGAAGTGACACCAAGGCATGTATGAGCTGTTCCCATGTCTAAAGTTAATTGAAGATGGAGCTTTAACATGAAGAAATACCGACCTCGCCACTACTACCTCAGGGGAGTTTGTTCCAATTCTCTTTTTATTTTATTATTCTTTATCATGCATAATATGCAATGGGGACATTGCATAAATTAAGTGTCTTCCTCCTCTCCCTCCATCTGCCACCTATGTCATCCAGTAACTAGCAAAACCAGAAAAGATATTACAGATCGATAATTATAAGTTTAAAAACCAAACCAAAATCTTAAAATCTGTTCATTAAAAGATGTGGACTCCTGTCCTTTGGAGAAAAGCAACCGGTCGTCGGAGAAGACAGAACGATGGATAAGGGAAGAGGACAAAATGGTTTTTAGAGGTAATTGGGATGCACTATGATCGAGATCCTCACTGGAAAGCAAGCGTGGAAAGACAGGAGAGTAAAAGCGCTCTGTCAAATCGGGTATTATGAGGAATCTATTGAAATGAAGAGGGGAATGAGGGTTTTTTTTTATGGGAATGAGGGAGGTTTGAAGTGCCAATGAGGGTGGGGTGAGCCGTCGGAAAATATATAGTTTAGGTGGGTGGTTTCGTTTGAGAGAGAGAGAGAGAGAGAGAGAGAGAAGGCATGTGATTCTATTTTTTCTTTTTTATAATTATAAAAAGGGGTGAGATTTTATTATTTATTTTGTTATTATTATACAAATACTTAAACAAATAGAAAAGACAAAACTATATTAATATTTATAAAATAAAAATATAAAAAAATACAAAAAAGAAATTTAAATGGAAAAACAGTCAATTTAAGTGCTCCATGGACCAAAAATACAATTTTTTCTTAAGTTTAGGACAAAAAACCCAGAAAAACCTTGATTTTGAACCTTCGGTGCAAGCTGAAAACTTTTTGGATCCCATCATCTAAAGATTTTTACAAACCACAAAGACGAAATTTGCAGTTTTGTCTACATTTAGCAGTGAACTAGGAAATCATATGTGCTTGAATTTTATAAAGTTTACAAGCATGGATGAAATTAAAATTCTCGATTGGTTGGCATGGTGGAGGATCCAAGATTTGCTAACCGTTCAATCTTTTATGGGATCTTTAAAAGCCGTCTTTGTATTTTAGTTAGAGTTGTAAATTACACCATAACTTATTGAGGAGGTGTGCCTCTTCTTAAAAGATTATTTAGATGGGATAAAACGCATACAACGACAAAGACTCGTAAATAATTGAAGATGATGGAAGAAGAATACCAAGAATAATATATCGGCGAATAAAACAATACACATATCTTTTGAAGAAAGTTAAATTTTGTACTGAATTCCTTATTGCATTTACAATTAACTAAAATAAAAATCTATATGATTTGAGTAAAAATTGTTATAGCTTGAAGCTTTTTACTGGTTTTAGCAAAATAAATAAAAATCGGTTTATGTTAAACTACGGCCTAGGCCCACCCCACTTTAATTGGGGCCGATTCTAAGAAAAGCAATTCCGCTTATTTAGTGGGCTTCAAATAAATTAGAGCTACTAAAAGGACCATGGTGTTTTAAATGTCATAAATTTAATCAAATCTACCGAAATGGGCATTAACTATAGGAATGATATAGTAACAAACCTATATCACAAAATTGAATTTAAATGTAATATGGCCCAACAAACGTTCAAACAGGAATGATATAGTAACAAACCTATATCACAAAATTGAATTTAATCAAATCTACCGAAATGAGCATTAACTATAGGAAAAATCTCAAAATTATAAAACATGTTAAACTGTAAAGTAGATTTTAATAAAACATTTGAAGAAATTTTATGTTAAATCAAAATGGCTTGAGTCGTATTGGTTTGATCAATTACCATTTTTAGTGGTGTTTTAAATGTCATAAATTCGGAGTGTACTAAAAATATTATCAGAAAATTGTTTGAATTAGTTTATAAAAAATTTTAGCTGTTAATTTGAAGAATGTGATAAAGTTTAAGGTGTTGTTTGTTTTTTCTGAAGCAAAATGTATGCAGTCTGCCTACCACATCTGTAGACCTTTACAACAGAAAAAGTGAACCAAACGTCAGCAGTCTGAAAAAAAAAAGATTGTTTGTTTTTTTAACATCTGCATGCTATTAAAATAAACTGAAATCTAAATAAATTGATTTTTTTTAAAACCAGAAAATGATTTTTTAATATATTTATGACTTTGTTATAAATAATTAACAAATCTAAATCAATTTTTATGTATTATTGTATAAAAAGTGAAAATAAAAATGTGATAAATTAACGTATATATTTGATAAAAACCAGCAATTTTGATCGCAAATTTATACCTAAACATTGTAATTAGCAATCAAAAAACAAAGTGGATACATAAATAGATGCAAATAAACTTCGATTTTTTCAATTAAATCAATTAAAAACGTGTCATAAACATTTTTCAAAGAAAATGATGATAATATATTAATTAATATTTTATAAAATTTAGCATAATATATATATATATATATATATATATATATATATATATATATATATATATATATAAATTCAACAACCATTATTGTAATAAAATTTTATTTATAAATTTATCAAGAATATCATTTTTGTGTTGTCCAACTTTTTTTTAAGTATTGTAATTTTTTTCAAATTGTTTATCACTAATAAAGTTTGAATAAATATAAATTTAAAAAAACTAATAAAAAAATAAAGATATGTGTTTTTTAAAGCTAGAAGATTTTTGAAGATGTTAGAAGACTCTGGTCCAAATCTGCACCAAGAAAAGGACGCACAAACATTTTTAGGTCTACAGTCTTAAAAAAAAAAAACACTCTGCGAAGGCTAATGTCTGCGCGTGGTCTGCACCGTGCAGATAGAAGATGCCAAAAAGATCTGCAGACAAAAAACAAACACCAGCTAAGTGATACTACTAGTAAGAGTATAAGACCATCAAACAAAATTGTACATTTTCTTATTTATTTGTAATATATTTAGTTTTACAGCTCTGAAATTCTTGGGTATCATCTAACAACATTTAACGAATCAATATATAAAAATAATAATTATTGGTGTAATTGCGTATTGAATTCGATGGCTGATAACATCAGAGAGATCCATTATTGGTGCAATTGCGTATTGAATTCGATGGCTGATAACATCTGGACGAAAGTTACTAACACGAACATGCATGCAAAACGTAGTGTTCAATAAGTTTCTCAAGAAGCAAGAAGCAGTCAAGCACGATCAGGCATAATCTCCCTTCTTATCACCAACTTCCCTGATTTTGTTCAAGTTGTAGACATATGGTGGGTATGCGGTCGAGCTTGTAATCGATATGGAAAGATAGTAGATGTGTTTATTGCAAAAAAACTATCTAGAATGGGGAAACGATTTGGCTTCATCAGGTTTTCTAATGTGGGTAACTGTGATTATCTGATTAATCTTCTTTGTGATGTTTGGTTTGGCTCATATAGAATGTTTGCGTCTGGTTTGGCTCATATAGAATGTTTGTGTCCCTGCCCCGTTCCTTAAATAACACTATCCGTAAGCCCAAACAGTTGTAGATTCTAAAGTGGTTAATCGAGACAAGACTGTCAAATCCATTGCAAATGTTGTTCGAGGCTCGTCCAATAATGTTATCATCAATAAAAACGTGGAAGATATTATCGATCTCACTCCCAGAGATTTCAATGTAGAAAGAAAGCAAATGGCTTGTCTTATTAAGGCAAGAGACTTCTCTACCCTGCTTAACCTTCGAGTGCTTTGCTTAAATGAAGGTTTTGATAACTTTGAAATGAGATATGTGGGTGGACTGTGGGTGCTAATTGAATTTACTTCTACTAAGGCATGTAAATTTTTTATGGAAAGTAATGCAATGGACCATTGGTTACTAGAAAAGAGAGCATGGGATCGATACTTTGCTCCTTTGGAACGAAAAGTGTGGGTCGACGTTGAAGGCTTACCTCTTTCTGTTTGGAGTAAAGAATCTTTCAGAAAAATCATTTCTAAGTGGGGAACAATCGTTCATTTAGATGATAATCTCGGTGAAGATATATACAAGAACATGATTTGTATTCTGTCATCTTTTCAAACTATTATCTCAGATGTGATCAAAGTACGTGTTGAAGGGGTTACATATTCGATTAGAGTTAAAGAAGCTCCGGGATGGACACCCTCTTTTGTCCATGACTTTCCTGCCCCCGAATTGAATGAAAGCGAATTACCAGACCAAGATCAAAATGAAGGACAGTCGCATTATTTTGATGGGAACGAGGATATATCATCGGACCCATTTGGTATCTATGATGTAATTGAAAATATGAAAATGGATGAATTGAATAATGATATTTCTAAAAGATTTAACTGTTGGGGTAATGGCAAAAAGAACAAAGATATTAATGATAGTCCACAAGGGAAAAATGGACACTCATCAACAGAAAATTTCTTCTATTCTTCACCACCTAATCATAAATCTGCCGGAAATACCCCCGCTGTTTCACACCCATGCTCAGCTACCAGATCAGGTGAGGCTGAAAAAAAAAACGATTTCTGCTGCCACTGTTCATGCAGCACATATTGCTGATGCTGTCAATTCACAAGCAGCCCCTGCTACTCCAGTTATTTCAACAACAGCTCCTGTTGCTTCTTCCGAGAATTCCTTAGCAAATGATTGGCATTCAATCTTCGGATAATTCTTTATCTCACCCACCTGGTTTCTCTAATAAAATTTATGTGGAGAATGAAATGTTCTCTAAAGGTTCATTCAACAATGAATCTAATGAGATTGAATCCAATAAAACAATTGAAATGGGAGAGGTCATCGGTTTCAACATGCATGATTGTGTCGAACAAGTTAAAAATATTGTTCAAGGGGAGCGTAAAAAAGACTTTTAATTATGAATTATCTATCTATCAATATCCAATGAGAGGGTTCTTAAAACAAACGGGTGTGGATAAAATCCCTTTGTGTTCAATTCAAGATTAATTTTTTAGCTATTCAAGAAACTAAAAAGGAGCTAATAGACCTATTCCTAGTTCGTTCTTTCTGGGGTAATAGTACGTTCTCTCATGCTTTTTCCCCCTCCCGTGGTGCTTTGGGTGACATTCTGGTTATTTGGGACACAAATATTTTTACTCGTAATAAAGTGATCATCTTTGACTGGTACGTGGCGGTGGAGGGTGTTTGGGCTATTTCTGGAATAGATATATTGTTGATTTCTATTTATGCTCCTCAAAGAGACGAATCCAAAACAGAACTTTGGGCCAAAATATCTAGCTTGATCGCTTCTTTTTCGGGAGAATGTATGGTCATGGGAGATTTCAATGAAGTTAGAGACGAGTCTGAAAGAATTGGTTCTCAGTTCCATCAAAATCCATCTAGACTATTCAATCAATTTATTGATCAGGCTGACTTTGTTGATATTCCTATGGGTGGCCCTCGTTATACTTGGAGTGACAAATGGGGATCCAAGTTTTCAAAACTTGATCGCTTTCTGGTCTCTGAAGGTCTTTTGGTTCGTTTTCCACATCTCACGGGTTTGGTTCTGAATAAAAATACCCCGAACCATCCCTATTGTTTTATTAGAACATCAGGTGGATTATGGTTCGTCTCCTTTTTGTGTTTTTCATTCTTGGTTCGAGCTTGAAGGTTTTAACGAAGTCGTTCGTGATTCTTGGAACTCTACTATTACTGGGAATATGATTGATAATCCTTGGGTTATTTTTAAGAAGAAGCTTCAACTTCTTAAATCTAACCTTAGAATTTGGAATTCTTGTGCTCGTGACCGTATGATTAATAAAAGGAAAATGCTCTAAGACAAAGTTGAATCGATTGATGCTTCTCTTATGCTTGATGGGGGTAGCGCTGATCTCCGTGAACAGAGAGTCTCAGCCATTAAAGAGTTGTCAGATTTAGATCATTTTTCTAGAGTTGACCTTGCTCAGGAAGCGAAAGTTTAGTGGGCCATAGAACGTAAAAAGAGTTTTTCCATGGTGTTATTAACAGGAAGAGGCGGCAACTTGCTATCAGAGGCGTCATGATTGATGGTACATGGGTTGATGACCCTAAGAGAGTTCTCTTTCTTCAAGCTCCTTTCTCTCGAGAAGAAATAAAAAGGGTTGTTTGGGGTTATGGTTCTGATAGAGCTCCTGGGCCGGATGGTTTCTCTTTTGGTTTTCTTGAGAGATTTTGAGACCTTATCTCAGATGATTTGGTTGCTTTTGTTCAACATTTTCATGATCATTGCTCCATTCCAAAAGGCTGTAATGCTTCTTTCTTCACGGTTATCCCTAAGGTTCGAGACCCTAAAATCATCAAATATTTTAGACCTATTAGCCTAATAGGTTTCCAATACAAAATTATTGGTAAACTTTTAGCTACTAGGTTGGCTGCGATCATCGGCTCTATTTTTAGTCTTGAGCAATCTGCCTTTGTCAAAGGTAGACAAATTTTAGATGGTCTGTTTCTTCTTAATGAATTGGTTTCCTAGAGTAAAGCTACGAACCATCCACTTATGATTTTTAAAGTGGATTTTGAGAAGGCCTTTGATTTTGTCTCGTGGGAGTACCTTTTGGAGATTATGCAGATTATGGGATTTGGCAACTTGTGGTGTGACTGGCTTATGGAACTTCTCAGATCTGCTAGAGCTTCAGTTCTTGTCAATGGTTCCCCATCTGATGAATTTCAAATACAACGTGGTTTGAGACAAGGAGATCCGTTGCCTCCTTTCTTGTTTATTTTGGTGATGGAAGGTCTTCATGTTGCTTTGCTTAAAGCTCATACTGCTAATGTGTTACTTGGCATTTCTATCAGTGATATTGATATTTCTCACTTGTTTTATGTTAATAATGCTATCATTATGTCTCCTTGGGACCCTGTTAATGTCTCCCGTATAATTCGTATCCTGCGATGTTTTTACTTAGCCTCGGGTCTCAGAATCAATTTGCAAAAAAGTAAGTTGATTGGGGTTGGAGTTCCTTTTGCTGACGTTGAGGTGGCAACTCGAAAGGTTGGGTGTGCTCCCGATTCATATCCTTTATTTCACCTTGGAGCCCCTATTGGCCAAAATATGACTTGAATTTCTGCTTGGTCCTCTGTTGTTGATCGTTTTCGTTCGAGACTCTCAAGTTGGAAAGCTAAAAGCCTTTCGTCTGGTGGACGTCTTTCTTTGATCAAGTCTGTTCTTGGAAGCCTCGACAGTTACCTAATGTTTATCTTCATGGTTCCGATCTCAATTGTTAACACCCTTGAGTCTCTTCAGGCTAGGTTCTTCTAGGGGACCGACTTAGATGAGAGATGCATGCATTGGGTTCGGTAGGATAAAGTTTTAGCTCGAAAAACGGAAAGGGGGCTCAGTAGTGGCAGTTTGTTTCCCTTCAATCCGGTTTGTTCTAATATTGTTGAATCTCTTGATGATCTTTTTGCCGGTTGTAATTAGTTGATTGAGATTTGGACTCGTGTTGCTATTTGGTGGGGCGTCCAAACTCCTCCTATGTGCTCTATTGATCATCTTCTTTCGTGGCCCGATTCTCTTTCGTTAAAAAGAAGGCAACATCAAGCCTTTGATGCCGTCATTTTCACTATGTTTTGGTGTTATGGAATTTTCGTAATTCCATCATTTTTGGAACGGTACAACCTAAGAAATCTTTTATTTTAGATGAAGTCATTGATAGATTTTTTTTTTAGATTTCTAATAGGTATAGAAAAGCTAAAATTAGTTGGACAGCTTGGTTACATAACTCTTTTTGGATTTCTAATAGGTACAGAAAAGCTAAAATTAGTTGGACATCTTGGTTACATAACCTTCTTTCAACTTGTAATTTGTTGTGATGACTTTCTTTTTCTAGCTTCTTGCTAGTTTTCTTATAAAATCCGTCGTTCAAAAAAAATCAATATATAAATATAAAATAAAAACATTTTTATATGTTTTGATACTTATGGTATCATGATAATAAATAATCATGAAGAATAAATACTATATTCAAAAAATTAAAAGATGCTAAATAAATTGTAAGTCAACAGATGTAGTAAAAATTTATATTGTATCATAACGATTAAGTAAAGTACATATTAAAAAATAACAATATTATTTGTGATTCATATATCAATACATATTGACGCTATTGATAAAGCTTTTGGAATGGACATTATTTGTTTTTAGAAATATATGTTTTAAGTCCTGTCTTTCAGGATATATTATACAAATACACTGACTCTCGATCTCTTATCTCTTATAAGTAATAAATTGAAGAATATGAAATTAATCGTATATCAGTTCATGTAGACTACCTACAAAACGAGATCTAATGGAATATATTTCTTTAATAAAACGATGCATGTTAGAATTTTTGTTATAGGTAGTTATAATATGGTTCTATGAAATGATTACTAAAAATAATATTTTCATATGTATATTCATACTTGATTCAACTAGTAAAGAGGAATGTACAACATACGGTTTAGATTTTTATGTTGATGTTTGGTAGGTCAGCTACACGAAAATCCAACATGTTGTAGGACAAAGAGGTCAATGGTGGAACCATAAGGGTGCGTTTAGTTGCGGAAAAATGAACCGTTTTCCGGAAAATTTTTCCAAGAAAAATGAGAATTTTGAAAACGCGTTTAGTTCGTCTATTTTTCTAAATTTTTCACGGAAAATGAAAATTTTCCGTTTTCTAAAATTACAAACAAGTTGGAAAATTTTGGAAAACTGATAATCATTGTTTTTCATATTTTTCTAATTCCAAAATTTTTCTATAAACACACACCCACTTCACCTCATCCACTTCTACCTACCTCCACCTTTAACACCCCTCACCCCCACACACACATACATATCCACCCCCCCACACACACCCGCACACACACACACACACACATCAACCCACAAACACACACACATATACACACACACCAACCCCCCCCAACACACACACCAACCCCCACACACACATACATACCCACTCACACACACACCCACCCGCACACACATACACACACCAACCCATACACACACATACATACCCATCCACACACACACACCCACAAACACACAAGCATACATACCTACCCACACACACCCACCAACATACACATGCACACACCAACCCACACACACACACACACCTACAAACACACACACTTACACATACATACCCACCCACCCCCCACACACACACATACACATACATACACATCCACCCACACACACACACCAACCCACAAACACACACATACATACCCACCCATACACACACGTACATACCCACACACCCACACCTACCCCCACCCTCACAGACACACACACAAACCTACACCTACCCCACAAACACACATACACACACAAACACACACTCGCACCCCCACCCACCCAACACCACCACAACAATCACCGACCTACTATCACCACCACCACCACTAACCCGTCACTAGCACCACCACCATCACCACCACTGATAAAATTGACGCCGCCACCACCATCGCCTGTCATCACCACCACCGCCGCCGACCCGCTACTGTCACCGCCCCCACCCACACCCTACTACCACTACCGTTTTTTAAAAATGAAAATCGATAGAAAAATAGACATTTAAACACGTTTTCTAATTTTCTAAAACTGAAAATGAAAAATGAATAAGTTTAACTAAACGCGTTCTCTAAATTTTTCAATGAAAAATGAAAACGGAAAATGAA